ATTGGCGTAAGATTTTTATGGCTTTGTCTCAAAGACAACATGAAAGTATTATAAATACTTTGCTTTTACATTCAGCCACTATTACCAGTGATCTCAGAATATTAAGTGAACTAATTAATATCAGAAAGTGCTTTTAATTATTTATGTATAGTTCTTCAGAATCAAGTTTTATGCACAACATTGGTTTTATAGGCATTGGAATTGACATTTAGCTTGATCTAATGTCATCTTTTGAATGCTAATTTGGAAATTTTAAACATATTTTTTATTTATATTAAATTGATTTTGGGAGGTGTAAATTTAAACATTAGATAATGATACTTCCTTTTTATTGTTCAAAGTGCATTTATGTAATTGTTTCTAGTCTTAAAATGTCAGTACTTAATCTGCTAAATACAACATATATTGTATAGAAATATAGTGCAATGTTCAGTAATTGTAGAATCTTTTATTTTTATTTTTTCACTTTTAACAAAAAAAACATTGTAACAGTGACAGACGTCTTTATGCAATCAAGACAGTATTTTGTAGATGAATTCAGCACAGATTAAGTTTGAGCTTTGATCACAATTGTGAATAGCAGAACTTATTATAAATTGGCTCAACTTTGTATAGAATATATTACTTATTGCTCAATGTGTGAATATACGTAGACAATTTTTTTTGTATGTTCTAGTGACACTGACGTAAACGTCATTATGTCAACATCAATGAGACACTGTCATTTATATCTGATGTTTTGATTCACTGCTAGGACAATGGTCAAAGATCTGAATTTCATGAGTCATGTTTAAAAATGAATTACATAGTGGGGAAAAGATTTTTGGCAGCATACTTTTGTTTTCCTGGTCCATTTTTTAGGTGCCAAATTTTCTTAGAAACGGTACTGGTATGTAACATTTCTACATGCTTGATTTTTCTAAGAAATCTCGAAGCAAAAAATCTCAACGTAATTATAAATTCAGAAATTTTCTAGGTCAAGCAAAATCTGTATTTTTTCCCTCTGTGAACAATAGTAGCTAGTCTATAGGGCAGTTTTCATAAAATTCATCACCCCTAATTTACTGTTTATAATGTAAATAATTTATCATGGTTTATTTTTCTTAGGCAGCATAGCTGGATCATTTTATTTGATAGGGGGAGGATTCATACAGTATAGCTTCACTTTGTTCACTTACATCTCTATTTTTCACCACATAGTCCCAATGATAATTGGTTTATGAATCATTTTTTGTTAAAACAAAAGAAGCATTTACTAAGCTTTCATTACATTTTTGCCAGTTATAGGCATTAAAATGACAATGTGTACGTGATCTCTGTGTTGTTATCACAGAGTGTTCGATGTATTTTCTTGTTGAAGTGTAATGTATCTGAATAATTTCATCTGCATTGTACTTGAATGAATTTACTTGAGGATAGCATACCAAAGACATTTGAGTGTGTAAAACAGAAAGTTCTCGTATGCAGGGTAATAATGATCTGTTTTCATTATGTATGACAACTTAACTCACATTTTATTGTATGTCACGTGGCATTTATTCTGTGTTGTGATTGGTGGAAAATGTTCCAGTTATACTTTAAAAGTCTCCTACAATGTTTGTCCTTGGGCCGTTGTTATGGAGATGTGTCATGTGGTTCGGACCCATTTCTCCCCAGACCTATATATATATTATGTCTGTCAAAGCTCATGCTTGTAAAATCTTCATTGTAAATCACTTCTGTATTTTTTCCTTGCACTCCACCCCACGCTCTGAATAGTTTGTTTTTTTTTCATCAACTCTAGGGAACGAAGTCAATTCCATTGGTTTATATTTCTGCATTCATTAGGGGAATTGATGAATATTTTATATTACAATTAAATTTATATTGCATAACATTTTGAAGTATGGAATAGGAATGTTCTGTGGTCAATGAAGCACATCGTGCGACATTATAATGTAATAAAATCTAATCGATGTGATACGTCTGCTTTCATGATTCTTAATGGCTGAAATTTAATTCATGTGTGGCCCATTACTGTAAGGTTTAATTTTGATTTAGTCAGAATTCGAAATTTATTTAAATTGTCTGGCTCAGACATTTTACCTTTTTTGTCCAAAAAGTAGGTTTCCAATCGGTCCCCATTCAAAAGAAAATGCATGTCATTCAGTCGAACTGCGGGGGTAGTTGACTTGATGAGGAATCATTTCATGAACTTTCAGAAGCAGCTAATTAACGATATAGTGTTAAAGAATTTAAATGAAGAATACTATGCAGGGCATTACAATCCTTTCATAAATCACATAATAGTAATTAAATTTCAATAGAATTTTGTTAAAATCGATGTCTACTTGGTTTACTTTGAAAAAGACTTTTAGTACATCTCTTGGAAAGGATGTAATTGCTTCACGGGGGTAAAATAAAAAAAAATCTTGATTTTTTTCGATTGGGGAGGGGGGTATGAAAATAATTCCGAGGATTAATTTTTAAAGGGAAGGGATTAATTGGACCACATTTTCTATGTTACAAACCTCAGTTTTGGGGGACAGGTTTAGAGAGATAAAAGTAATTTTTTTCAAATTTCCAAATGACAATTCACAACAAAAAGTTTATTACTGCGACTTGTCATTTAAGATCCAGACCAAGGACTTGAAGCTGATTTGTAACATTACCGCCGAGAGTTCGGGATATATTAAGCTTTATTCTTATCGATGTTTCATTGTGAAAAGCAAGGGAAATGTTACACAATGATGATTTGTACATCAGTTTTCAACTTAAAACTTGCACTCTGTATTTTTATCTGTAATTCTTCGATTTTCTACTTTTGATATTTAGTCTTTTTCTCTTGTCCATTTGTGAGGAATCTCATTTTGAACGACACGCTTTAATGACACAGTCAAAAGCCATGCCTCGTCATCTGTCCCAGCAGCTGTGCTTAACCAAGTTAAGACTTCATTCTCATTGTTGACATGCAAGTTGCTAAAGCAACTCTAAAAAGTACTGTGATTGGACAACATCGTGTCACGTGTCACTTGGTGGTCAGTTGTGTTTAGTGCTATATTGTATCATTGCTTTTGTTATAAAATAAATTGTAGAAAACATTTCTTTTGTGTTTGCAGTGAAAAAAATTAAATAATTTATGGGGGAAAACAACAAGTTTTGTTATGAAGAGGAAAGGTAAAATACCATAAATCGTTGCTAGAACATGTGAAATGTTACATGTATGTTCACTTGTGGCAACTGCACGAAAGCAAACAGAAACTTGTACAGTAAGTTTTATTGAATATACAACTAATTTATCGATGAATATCGAGGTAACTCATAATTTTCAGTGCTGTGTTCAGAGCAGTTGCATAAATTTATATGTTAGGTCTAACAGCAGGAAGTACAGTTGTTTTTCTTTTTCCAAACGATTAATTTACGTACAGAGGAGATTGGAACAAGCGAAGTTAAAGAATTGTTATCCCCTGCTTTCGGTGTCTTAGTGGATGGGATATGACATTATTTATGGTATATTGTGCCTCATACACGCCCTATCATGAAATTCTTATGTAATCACCGAAGTTAGAATTTTTGAAAATAGGTCGAACATAAAGGTCAAGGAGTAAAAAATCATAGCATTCGGAAACATCTTGTTGCAGGTCTCAATGAAAAGCTATAAAGAAAACATTTTTGAAATGTATGTCAAACGTCATGGTCATAGGGTCAACAAATCACAGTATGCATGAATTGTCACAGGTAATATACATATGCAATATGAAAACCCTATCTTCTCTCTTTTTAAAGTTATGACCAATTTCATGTCATGCTAAAGTTTTGGAAAAGTAGGTCAAACTTCAAGGTCACAGGTTGAAAAACCACTATACATGTATTTGGAAAAGTTTTGTTAAAGTTAATGACATGAAACTTTTCAAAGATCAGTTTTAAAGTTCATTTATGAAAGCACTATCTCTTTTCATCCAACAGATATAGTTACAGTTGAAAGCGGGGGACAAAAAATTGGTACTGGATTATTAAATCCACAGCTGTTGGATTAAACCTCGACCTTTCACCCTAAAGAAAGCTCTCATTGTACCCTGATTATTTTCGTAAGCTCTTCATACATGTATGTATGTAAATTTCAAAAACCGCAGTTGCAGACTGACCTTGATACATGTTGCTGCAATAATAAATGAAGCACAGTATCGATGAAGACGCAATTTTCGTTACGCAGGTAAATGACGATGAAATTATCAAAAATACAGTGTACTACCATCAGTCTACTGTGAGTATATCGCCCTTTGCATTAGAATTTTTAAAATGATGATGCCTTTGTTGATGATGGTCTGTGGTGGCTGCAAATTTTATTTTTGAAAAAAAAAAGAGGTAGGATACACATTGCATTAAAACAACGTGTATTGAATTTCTTTTCTTTGTAGGATTGATCACAACAAATTGTATTTAAGGTGTTGAATAACAGTAATAGCGGCATGACCAATCCGTTGTCCCCTTTCGGTGTGTTCCCATTTCGCCTTAACTGTAAAATTCAGGTAAGAAAAAGACAAAGGCGAAATGGGAATTTTAGTATTTCTAAATATTATTACTGGGTTGATATAAAAATTTATAAGATAAAAATTTTTAGATTGAATTTAACAGTTAATGGGAATTTATGAATACAGTGAATGAAATAATACATGTAATACCAAGTATTTTAAAAAAAAAAAACTTTATGATAAATATCACCTTAATTCACCTGAGAGCTTACTAAGGCGAAATGGGAATGCTAAATTTTACAGTTAAGGCGAGATGGGAACAAACTCCGCTTTCCCATTATTTCTCAAAAAACGCAAGGGGAGTAATGAAAACAAGAGGAAGTGCACATTGCATGTAATCAGTGGAATTCATAACTCGGGACCTTGACTTGGTACTGTATTTCCTTGTGACAAGATAAGCTTTATTACCCTTTATTTAAAGAAATCTTTATAAAACGGAGTCATAGTTGTGTCAAAACTGATTTGCAGCATGTAAACTTGTATCTGACATATTTTATTACATGTGTATTTTTCAATTCGGAAATGATGAGATTAATTACGACATTTTGGAAACGACTACCTGAGTCTGAAAAAAATGCTAGCCCCTCAAATGCTCAACCCATTGACACCTATCGGCTTGGTCAAATGAAAACTAATGATTTACATTAGACTTATTTGGTTCAAGGGTAGTATGTGTGAACCATATGCGTGAACCAAAGGAGATGGGTGAAATTAGCGTGCAGAAAGCCCAATAGCTTCAGATATATAAAAATCATATTCAAATTTTGAATTTAGTATTTAGAGTAAACATCTCATCATTGATTTTTATGAAATCATGAGAAACAAAAAATTTGAGGAAAATTTTTCGTTAAAATTTATTCTTTTATATTAAAAAAAATAATGTGGTATCCATTGGGTTCGAACCCTGGCAATAAAAATCCTGAGTTGCATTCTAGGTCGAGACTAGCACGCTAACCACTTCGCTACACAAGTCCTGATGAAGTGTGGCATTTAAATCATGTTTGTGATATGACCATTGACTTAAGGGACTTCAAGTATTTCTCGAAAAGATACAAAAGTTATGTCATAAAATTATATTTTTAAGGTATAGTACATGTTTACTATATAAACTTTTCCATAATTTTGTAAATAAAACCAAAATATGTATGTTTTTATACAAACTTTGAGGATTACCTTTCAAAAAAATGGAGAGAAGACACCACTCATAACGAAAAATTGTGTTATAGTGTGAAAAAATGACTCGTTTTGTCCTCTTTCGTGTGTGTATAAGTATTATTTAATGAATTGTAGATGGCGCAATGATCTAAATCTACGTAATCATAAAATATAAAATCTCTGGGGGTGGAGACGTTTTAATCTAAATATTTGCTGTTACGAACACTATATGAATGTTGTATTATGAATAAATCTCTTTTTTGTTTCCAACTTTTATGTTATAATACATGTATTAAAGAACCTGAATCTTTTTGAGGGGGGGGGGTTCTCATAAGTGATTTGTGACACGATCAATCAAAAATAGCTCCGCCCACTTTATAACTTTGCAGCATCCAAACTATAAACAGAGTTTGTTTGATGAGGCCCCGACGGGGAGTGCGCATCCGCATTTTCTGTATATATATTTCCACGGAAAACGTAAAATTCGGTCAGATTAGTTTTGACAATTTAACGGGGTAGACGTAATCGAATGATAGTCAGTCTTAATGGATAAGGTGGAGGATTTAACCGTCATTGTTGTGATCTATTAAACTGAAGATGGAGATTTATCATAAATTTATTTCACTGAGGGGTCTTAGAAAAATCCCGGTTTATCTCAGATTAACAAAAAAAGGATTTACAGAAAATTCTTGAAGAAAAACATTTTTTGGACTTTGATGTCACGGATTTTTATTTTCAAATTGAATTGCGACATTAAGAGACGTGTGGCTGTCGTCAGCGAGAAGGATTTTAAAAAATAAAAACGCGGAAAAAATGGACTTGAATGATTTTGCACGAGGAGAGTGGGTGTTTTCCATTATTGCGAATTTTCCGTTTCGTTTGGAGCGAAATTACGTAAAAACAGAGGATGTTTTCCGTTATTGCGAATTTTCCTTTTACTTTGGAAAATCGAAATTACGTGTAGATTCTGTGTGGAATAAGTTTTTAAAAAGTGATTGAGAAATTTTGACATTTTACATTACATGTTCAGGAAAATACCAGGGGTATTTCTCCAAAATTTATAATAGGAAAACATCAGCATTTACTATTTGTACGTGCTTTTGCTAAATTGAATCAGATTTATTTTTAGACCGTGCTGTATTTTAGATACAGAATAGTTGGCAAATACAATGCTGTATACAGGGCTAATACAGAACGGAAAGTAATCGCCCACCACAGTCCCGAAAATTAAATATATCTGTATTGCTAATACAGAACAGTAAACTTCAAAGAAAAACACCGCTATCGTGTCACAATATTACATAGACAAACTACTTCAATCTTCTTGAGATTTGTGCAAGTTGTAGAGATTTTATAATAGGAAAACATCAGCATTTACTATTTGTACGGAATTGTGTTGCTTTTGCTAAATTGAATCAGATTTATTTTTAGACCGTGCTGTATATCCGTTTAGATACAGAATAGTTGGCAAATACAATGCTGTATACAGGGCTAATACAGAACGCTACACAAAGTGGCATTTAAATCATGTTTGTGATATGACCCACCACAGTCCCGTTCTGTATTGCTAATACAGAACAGTCAAAAAAAACTTCGAAAAATTGTGTTAAGAAAAACACCGCTATCGTGTCACAATATTACATAGGCAAACTACTTCAATCTTCTTGAGATTTGTGCAAGTTGTAGAGATTTTAAAGTATACTTTAATGTTTGATGAAATGTTAAGGACAATTTTGATATAATTGAGATTTAATTTTTCACCTTCATGTTTGTCGCGCTTTGGGCTTATCTCTCGTCATGTTCACCCATCTCCTTTGTTACCAAAGATTGTCTAGCTGAAGACAACGATTTGGATGGAGTGTTCAAGCAAAATGTAGAGCTCTCTGTCCGAGAACCCAGTCAAGAAATGAAGTTTTTTTTAACTGATCTTTAAAATTTATTATTTGTACACAATTTACACTGATGCTTTCATGTTTGCGATGCATATGACCAATTGCAAAAGTTTGGATTACATTTACTCTAAATAAGGATTTAACTTGGTCTGTTCCGTAACTGTGGAAACCGACAAATGCTTTTTTTTTCGTTGATCATGATGATTTGGATAAATGAATCCAAATTAAGTCAGTTCTCTTGTGTTGCTAACAAGATTACTGTCGTAACATAGTCTTTATGATTTGATCAATTGCAACTCTTAAGATACCAAGTTCATCACCATGCACTGTGGGACCGGAGGGAAAAACAACATAATAGTCTTGGTTCTATACCCTACGGAAGCCTAAAACTTTTTTAAATAATTGGGGCCGCTAGACAGTTTGCTTTGAGCACTTTGATACAGACCTTGAATTAAAGGTGGGATCAGGTGCCATGGAGGAGTATCATGTGACCTATATTCAGAGAATCAGATTTCGCATGTCAA